ATTATTTTCGTTAATAAAAAAAGTTATACACACCAAGGAACAGTGATTTATTGAAGAATCAGAGAGAAAAATCATATTCTCGTCAACTGGTCCTACGACAGAGTGAATTCTTAAGCCGCAAGTTAACAAACTCACAATTTCAAAATATTGATATCTCCGTTATAATAGTAAAATAGGATTAAAAATCATTTAGTTTCGGATAGTCAAAAAAACAACAAAAATGCGTAAATTATAGTAATATCTTAGTATTTCACGGAAATTTCGGCAATTAAAAGAGTAGACACAATGGAAATGGCATTGATCCTATGCACTGAGAAAAAAATATATTTTTCCCAAATATTCATTTACTTGAGAGAAGGATTTATTTTTTCAATACCCTATTTCTCCTGTCTAGGTATTCCGAGGCAACCCTCATTAGGCTTCAATTATAACAATTGTATTGCTCCAGAAGATGATAATGTTTGTTATGATGTCGACTTAATTAACTCCCTCAACAATTATGAACATTACAAACAATCGAAATTCTTCTCTGTACAAAATAACAACTTAGGAAAAATGAGTAATCATTGGAGGAGTGAATCCAAGGTTAAGTACAACATAGTCATCCTCTAGAGCAACACGATTGTCATAATTGAAACCTAATCAGGCTCGCCTGAGGACTCGATTGGAGAAATATGAATTTGAAAAAATAAATGCTTCTCTCAAGTAAATGAATATTTGGAAAAAATATATTTTTCCCCAGTGTGCTCGTTTTGCAATCAACTGACAACTGGTAACGGACTAAACGGATGAAAAAATCAGTTAAAAGTTTGGACTGTTCTATTGAAATATCATTTTGTGCCTCGAGATATTTTTTAACGTTGTTGTATCCGAAAAAGAATACTCACGATGTAATTACTTCAGATATCACCTTTCCTTATCATTGAAACCACGAGACGAGGATAGGGACATGGGACTTTCCACATTTATGAACGATTATTTATTAAAAAATCGTACTTATCATGATTAGTATAAGTGAATTCTAATCCTGAAGTTTTTACTATCTGATATTTAATTTAAAACATTGCATCTTTACACTCATTTCAATCGAAATATTGCACTCATGATGTGTTCACCTTAGCTACACAAGCGTAGGATCATTTACCTTTCTCGAAAGATGAAAACTATCATTTTTTTTAACAACTGAAAACATTATCAACTATTATTTTACTGAAAAATTTTCACAAAGTTGACAAGTTGAAGGGGTTGAAGAGACAGCGAGTTTGAGGAGTAAGCAACGCGAGGGTTTATTGTTATCACAACGATATAGAAGGGAGCAAGTGTTTGCACAGACCGAAAAGCATTTCAGTACTTCATAACAAAACGAAAAGGAGAGAAATAAGAAGAAGAAAAACGTAAAAGAAATAACAAGAACAGAGGAGTTGTAAAAAAAACTCTGCGTCAAACTTTTCCTCTGCATCTTGAGGCTTTTGAATTAATTAATTAATCCCAGTGACCTGGAATCGAAGAAAACCCTCCCCCATCGCTATATTCATCTTTAGACGTGAATTTTTCATTAAAACCTCACCAATTAATGTACCTTTTTAATAAAGGCACGATTAATCTACCGAACCCCTCCCAGGTTGTTCACCGAGTGTTTTCCCAACTGAATGGTAAGAGGGTAAAACTCCCCTCTGCCTCAATCGTTTGTTATGATTATACTTTTTTACAATTAGAGAACTACTGATTGGTCAAGTGGAGGATTTACCCTCTAATTCCCTATTATTACAACAAATTATGGTAATTTAAGGATAATCGGGCGAGGAGGAAATGTAGGAGGTGAGGCGGAGGGGTTTCTATTGTTTTCCTGCAGAAAACCAATCGCTGAACAAAAAAATTTTTCTCATTCGGATTCAAAATTCAGGCACTATTAGGAGTATCTTCGGTTGAAAATTATTTTTGGAGTTAATTAAATTTATTTGTATCTGTTCCACGCATTGAATGGTTTTCAGATTGTTTTTATTTTAATAAACGAAAAAATATTAATCCATGCGAAAAAGTGGCAATATCGTCGGTATTTTTTTTTTCACCAGGAGCTGGTACCACTGGCTCGAGGGAGCTCCAATCACAACGCTTCATCGCATCTCTCTCAAGAGACGTTTAAATTGACCGCGCTACCCCCACCCGATCGGTACTTGGGACGTTGCTGTTCGTTTGGGCTGCGTGCGCAGAAATTTCATTTTTCAGTACTTTTTTTGCTATTATTAATAAACAATGCTCCTAGGCGACAATCTTTTCCACTCAAAAAATCATTGATCACATGTTCTAAATGTGTATAAAGTTTCATGACTTTGGCTGCATTTTTTCCTTGGGTTTTCCAGTTTTTTTGTGATTTCCATAAGATCACGGCTTAAATGACCACTTTTTTAAAAATTCATAATAAATTAACCATGCTCCCCAGCAGTCTGAAACTTTGCACACGCCTTTTCCATCGTTTGAAGAATACGTAAAAAAAGAAAAAACTGGCTGCTTTTTTTCTAACCCTTCCAGCTCGCCCGATTACCCTTAAACGTCCGGTGTGGCACAAGCCTGAAACTTAGGGGCAAATTTGTTTATAATTTTTTCTGAACCTAATAACGAATGAGTTTAGGTGTGATCGGTTGTTTTACACTAATGAAACCAATCTACATGAGAGTAAGAAATGAGGCAAACAGTAGTTTGCATTTGAACTTCGTCAAATTTAAGGTTTATTTCTGGAAAACCAGTTTTCCTTAGGATTGTCCCCATTTTTTTCATAGATAATGTTTGTGATATTCCCCAGTTATTGAAAAAAAACCAAACTAGCTGTATTACACAGTGTAGGAGATCATAAATAATGAAATGCGGGTTTCTTCACTGAGAAAAAAATTCTAATATCGGAAATATATTTTCTGGAGACAAGTAATTTTTCTTCAATTTTTTAGTTCTCACAGGCATCTCAACTAACGAGGCCCGAGAAAGGTCTCATGCTTTAAAATATCGGGTACTCAAGTATGATTTTGTTGCAAATGAACTCACTAAAATCGCGTAGAAGAATCGTCATCGTCGAATGAACTTACATTTTTGAGGGTGAAGTAGCCTAGGCGGTCTTGGCTGGCAGCATGATCGTTAGACGATTCCTATCGGTAAAAGAGAAAGGACGATCATCATTTTCCTATTTTTCAATCGAGGATAAATATGTGATATGACGAAACTAATAGCCGCCGGACGGCGGCGAAAGACAAACTCTAATTGGCGCCAAAATTCTTGACATTTTATTGACAATTTTGGGTGAAAATAAAAAAAAATAGCTTTTTGAGTCATTAACGATTTAAAAAAACGTGTTTTTGAATAAACCGCGTCAAACTGAAGCTAATGTTATGTATGACGTCTCATTTTGAAAGATTTTTCATATTCTTTGAGTGATAGCTTGAAACTAGAGCTATTGGGGCCAATTTGGACACATATTTTTTTTGTAGAAAAACTATCAATTTTCATAAAATCATAACTCCCTCCATTAGGGATGCAAAATGACGGTAATTTTTGTCATGCGTCAAGTCAGCCGTTTAGTGACCATTTCTGATTTCATTTGTTCGTAGAGACGTGCTACGAAACTTTTCTGATTTTTTTGCAATTCCATACTGAGGTAATATTCACTAAATTTTCGATTTCCGTTTCGGCGTTATTCACAATTTTATTCAAATTTCTATAAACATTCATGAAGAAAATGAAAAAAAAGGACCGAGCATAAAAATGACGGTCAGATTACATCTAGGTGGACGATTTTTCAGTATAAATGACAACGAGAAAAGATTACTGACAACCGGGTAAGTTGACCGGTCAGTTTGTATCACGAGGTATGCGTCAAGTCAGCCGTTTTGTGACCATTTCTGACTCGAAACAGTCGTATAAAATTTTTCATTGGATAAACGACGTCGTAAATCTTCTCATTTGAAAAATAATTAAAGAACTCTCTCAAACATACGATGCCTAAAGCAGGCTAACTCTTACTCAAATTTGGAGAGCTCCGCGGTCAAGGCTCAGCGCAGGGGCCGAATTTCGAAGTAACACCGTAACACGATGAATGATATTTGTCGCGCTCTATCTAGATGTAAAATGACCGTCAAGATTTTCTTTGGTCTTTTTTGTGACGCGAATTTCCGTTACTTTTTTTCTGATGAAAAATGGTCAGTAATTGGCCTTCGGTCAGTGACGTGTAATTGACCTGTAAAATAACGGTAAATTGACCGGTCAGATTTCTCCGCTACATCCCTACCCTCAATTATCCACAATTTTCAAGAGAGGACCTCTTCAAAATTTTTGTCCAATCGCCATCTTGTCAGAAAAAAAATTGAGACAAAAATTCCCATCGAGCTTTTGTCCTGCAGATTTGGTTAGAATCTGCTTATTTTTCAAAACGCATCACCAAAAAGTTGAGGAAATTTTCGCCAAAGAAGTGAATATCGCGATTTCTTCTGATGCATTTCTGTCCAAGTTATAAAATACTGGGGGGCTACATGACCCTTGCGACCCTTAATCTCACCCTTATCATACCCCTTGAGACCCTTATTACCCTTATTTAGACCCTTAATCTGACCCTTGTGACCCCAATTTTCTTCACCAAAAGTCGATTTGGATTTTTATAATATAGAGAGATATATTGAGACCCTTATTTTGACCCTTGTGACCCTTAGTTTCTGACAAGATTTTCTTTGGTCTTTTTTGTGACGCGAATTTCCGTTACTTTTTTTTTTATGAAAAATGGTCAGTAATTGGCCTTCGGTCAGTGACGTGTAATTGACCTGTAAAATGACGGTAAATTGACCGGTCAGATTTCCCCGCTACATCCCTACCCTCAATTATGCACACTTTTCAATTGTCCTCTTTTCAAAATTTTTGTCCAATCGCCATCTTGTCAGAAAAAAAATTGAGACAAAAATTCCCATCGAGCTTTTCTCCTGCTGATTTGGTTAGAATCTGCTCATATTCAATATTTCTCAAACCTGATGATGCTGCTGTTGCTGTTGTTGTTGCAAATACAACGTATGCTGCATGATGGATTGCAGCTGAGTTGGACTCCAAGTCTGCTGCTGAAGTAGTTGTTGCATCTGATGAATTCCGCTCGCTGGGCTGAGCATCATCTGGGTGGAATTCTGAATGGGTGGACCACCAGGTGGGCCACCTGGCTGTAATGGCCCCTGAATTGAATTTGTGGGTGATGCCCTTTGAGGTGCCTGGGGACTTTGATGGGGACTAGGCTGGGAGCCCGGTGTCCCTGAACTGGGTTGCTGTGACTGTTGGGCAATTATCGGCTGCTTTTGCTGGGTCATGGGTGCTGCTGTCACTGTATGCTGCCCAGCGGGACTGAGCTTCCCATTGCTTCTATACTCGATTGTGATATCTGACTGATCGGCTCCCTCAGAGCCACCACCACCACCTCCACCCCCTCGTTCTCTTATCCGTGTTTGTTGCCCCTTATCCTTTTCTCTCTCGCGCTCCCAAGCCAAGTCACGAGATTGCTGTTGTTTCAGGGCTGCGTACAGTGTTGTTGCCTGGAATCAAAGGATTTTTTGCAGAATAAAATAATTGAATGTATTGTAGGTGGATGAAACCCCGGACGGGGACATAACCAGGAAAATTTAGATTGGAAAGTTAGAATTGGATCAGAATGATTCTAGAGACCTCAAATCGTCCAGATTTCGTAGTTCCTGGATTAGGTTCAGACGACCCTTTTCCACATTGCCCACGAATATTGTTGAAACACACTTTCGAAATTCTTGTATAAAATACATGAAAATATGATTTTTTTTAAATAAGAAAACTATCGATTTGGAATAAATAAATTGTTTATTCGATTAAAAAAGTCATTTAGCTCTCTATATATAATAAACAAATAGGGGGCGTTCAGATAAGATATTTCTCGGCCGAATATCGGCTCAAGGTCTAATTCCCTTAATAGAATTCCCTTAATAGAGTGCGAAATTAAAACTGCTACACAACAGATTTAAAACACTTCTAGAAGTTCATTATTTTATTTTATCTAAAAAACTTGTATCTTGAATAAATTCAAATATAAATTATCTGTGTGAAATTACAATTCAACATTGAGAAGAAATAGGTGACCCGTGTATAAAAATGAATAGAGTCTCATTAAAAAGCTTAAAATAATACTCTAAAATAACAAAAAAATCTGTTCTGGCGGACTCGAACAGTTCGG